TGGGTGGGATAGGGAACTGCTGACTTTTCTTATAAGCCTCATGAAACGGTTTGACTTTTAAAACATATATATTGTTATTTTTATTAAATCAGAATTTATATTGTCCTTCACCTCAAAAAAGTAAGTAAAAAGAAAAAGGGCTGGGCGTAGTGGCTCATGCCTATAATCCCAGGACTTTGGGAGGCCGAGGCGAGTGGATCACTAGGTTAAGAGATCGAGACCGTCCTGGTCAACATGGTGAAACCTCGTCTCTACTAAAAATACAAAAATTAGCTGGGCATGGTGGCGCAGCCTGTAGTCCCAGCTACTCGGGAGGCCAAGGCAAGAGAATTGCTTGAACCCAGGAGGCGGAGGTTGCGGTGAGCCGAGATTACAGCATTGCACTCCAGCCTGGGTAATAAGAGCAAAACTCCGTTTCAAAAAAAAAAAAAAAGAAAAAGAAAAAATACATTTGGCAAATTCTGACTAAAGAAAAACTGGTAAATAGCGTTAATATAGACAAAATAGAATTGCAGGACAAAAAAATATTAATGGTAGATACAAAAGTTTATCTCATAGTAATAAAAGGGTCAAATGTGACAGGAAAGATAAAATTGTGAGCTTATATATATATCCTCAAACTTACATTAAGGAAAAATTACAGGAATGTATAGGTAAATTCAGCAATAAATTTCAGAAATGTGAAAGATCTGGAAATAGAGAAAATATTTGAATAAGTAACTAAAAGTTTGACTTATAATATTATGAGGATTTTGTATTTTTAAAAGAACACAGAGCGTTTGATGAATTTGTTGGTTTCAGAGAAATGATGTTCAAACAGACCAACTTCACTGACCACACTCTAGCTAAATTAAAACTCAACAATAAAAATATGGAATAATGAAATAAAAGAAAAATCTGTTTGTAACAGATTGAATGGTGTTCTCCCAAAATTCATGTCCATGGGACTTCAGAATGTGACCTTATTTAGAAATAGGGTCTTTGTAGATGTCATTAGATAAGGATCTCAAGATTAAATCATTTGGATTTAAGATGAGCCCTAAATCTAGTGATTATTGTCCTTATAAAAAGAGGAGAGAAGACCATTGAGGACAGAGGCAGAAATTGAAGTTATGCTGCCACAAGCCAGAGAATGCCAGGAACCATTAGAGGCTGAGAGAGACAAGGAAGAATTCTCACCTGAAGCCTTCTCAGAGAGTGTGGCCCAACTGACACCTTGATTACAGACTTTTAGCCTGTAGCTGTCAAAGATTATATTTCTTTGGTCTAAGCTGTCCAGTATATAGTAATTTGTTATGACAGCCCTAGGAAACTAATAACACCGTTCATCTATTTGAAAAATTTAAAATGTAATTTTAAATAACTCAGAAGTTAAAGAAATAAATCATAATGGAGATTACAGTGTATTTAGAACTGAAGGATAACAAAATTTTAATATCAAAATTTTTGGAAGAGAGCGAAAGTGGTATTTAGGGGTAAAGTTACACACTTAAATACGTATATTAAACATAAGAAAAATCCAGTCAAAATCCCAGCAGGGTTTGTTTTTTTTTTTATCAGAAACCAACAAGCTTATTCTAAAATTGATAAGAAATAGCCAAGGCAATCTTGAAAAGAAGAACAAATCTAAAGGATTTGCACTAAGAGGTATCAAAACTTATTATAAAGCTGTAGTAATTAAGACAGTGTGATATTGGCACAAGGATGAACAAACTGACCATAAAACAAAATATTCCAGAAACAAATTCATATATATATGGATATCTGATTTATGTTAAAGATACTACTCAATATGATGGGATAAGAATTATTTTGGGAGTAAAATGTGCAGGATAAGTTAGATATTCATACTGAAAAAAAAATTGACTCTCTTCCTCACATTATAAAAATTATTCAAAATGGATTGTAGATCTAAATATAAAAGGGCGTAGATAGATGAATGATTGATAGATCTATCAGAAAATGGAGGAGTATTAATCTGGTGATAGGAAAAGACTTACTAAACTGGGTTTCCCCTGCCCCCCCCAAAAGAACCCACAAAGGAAAATATTGACAAATATGGCACATATTTTCCACTGTGCAATTAAAAAGATCTTTTAAAAAACAATATGGTACTTAGAAATGAATCTAAAAGGGCATGTAAGATAAACAATATGGTACTTAGAAATGAACCTAAAAGGGCATGCAAAACTATTTTAAGATAAAATTATAAAACTGCATTGAAATATATTAAGGAATACCTAAATAGTTGGAAAATTATACAATTGTAATAATAAAGATGTCACCAAATTAATTTCTAAATTAAATGCATTGTTACCCAGAATTTCATTAGAATGTTTCATGGAACTTACAGGCTGATTCTAAAATATTTATGCAAAATCAATGAAAGTATATTTACGGAATATGATAAGGGATCTTGCCATACCAGACATCAAGACTTATTACACGTGCAGCTTATTTAAGACATCATTTGCAAATGAATAAACAGAAAGAAAAATGAAACAGAATGGTGACCCAGAAACACGTCTATGAATGTGGAAGCCTAACATATACAGAGATGGCATAACGATCTGGAGAAAGGATGAAGAGGAACTACTCAATAGGGTTTAAACCAATGAATATATATATGGAAAAAATGAAATAAGATAAATCACTGCTGTATACTAAACAAAAATATATAGTATTCTAGGCATATTAAAAATAAATGGGATAACTAAATTTTTAAAATTTAGATGGTCTGTCCTTATGACCGTGTGATGATTAAAGATTTCTTAAACAGGACACACAACGTACCAACCCTAAAGGAAAATATAGTAAATGTGCCATTATTAAAATGAAAATTTTTCTGCATAAGCAACATCAAACAATTAAAAGACAAGAAACAGACTGGGAGAAGATACTGATAAAGCATGCCACCTGCAAAAACATTTTACAGGAATGTTCATGGCAGTGCTTTTCAAAATAGGAAATAGCCTTAAGTGGAACAATGTATTCATATATATTAAAACAATAGAATAATACATAACATTGAGAATCAGAGACACATATATTAATTGACAAAATCTCAAAATCATAATATTGAGTGAAAAAGAGCATGTTGTGTAAAGGTACAGGCAGTATTGTATCCTTTACATAAGGTTTAAAGACTTGCAAAAGAATGCTGTACATTGTTGATTAATATATGCAATGTAGTAAAGAATTACAAAACATCCTTGATATTGATAAACTCTAAATTTGGTATAAAGGTTGCTACTGAAGGGCCAGGTGTGGTGGCTTACGCCTGTAATTCCAGCACTTTGGGAGGCCAAGGCGGGTGGATCACAAGGTCAGGAGTTCTATACCAGCCTGACCAACATGGTGAAACCCTGTCTCTACTAAAAATACAAAAATTAGCTAGGCATGGTGGCGTGCGCCTGTAATCCTAGCTGCTCAAGGCTGAGGCAGGAGAATCGCTTGAACTCAGGAGGTGGAAGTTGCAGTGAGGGGAGGTCATGCCACTGCACTCCAGCCTGGACAACAGGAAAAAAAAAGGTTGCTACTGGAAAGTGAGAATGGCATCACCAGGAACACCTTACACAAGGAACATTATATCTGTAATATTTGATTTCTTAAACTCTATGGTAAATACTTTGGTGTTCATTATGTTGCCTATACTTTAGGTATGCCTGAAATAGTTTATTAACATTAAAACATTTTTAAATGATCTAAAAATTTCAGAAGACATTTTAGATAAAAGAGATTAGGAGGATTGAAGTAATAGAGATAAGAAAAATGTATGGATTTAAAAGTTGTAGCAAGAGATAACTGGTTCTTTGCATTTTTACCAATCTTTATTGTCTTTCTGATTTCTTTGTTGAAAAATATACTTAGAGATAAAAAATGTAAGATGATCAAGAAAAACAAAGCAAAGAGAAATAGTATTAGACAAGTTTAAAAGGCTATAACTACATGAAATTTTTAAAAATTATATGAGAATGCTGTGTATAAAATCTAGATGATAGGCCAAGTGCAGTGGCTCACACCTATAATCCCAGCACTTTGGGAGGCCGAGGCGGGTGGATCACCTGAGGTTGGGAGTTCAAGACCAGCCTGACCAACATAGAGAAACCCCATCTCTACTAAAAATACAAAATTAGCTGGGTGTGGTGGCGCATGCTTGTAATCCCAGCTATTTGGGAGGCTGAGGCAGAAGAATCGCTTGAACCCAAGAGGCTGAGGTTGTAGGAAGTGGAGATTGTGCCATTGCACTCCAGCCTGGGCAACGAGAACAAAACATCTGAAAAAAAAAATCTAGATGATAAAAATGCTTTTCTTGGATTATGTGAAATATAAAAATTGACTCCATAAATGGTAAAAACTTTGAAAAGGTCAAAGAACTTGAAAGCATTGTTCAGATCTTTTTTCCTTTGAAAAACATCTGATCTTTCCTTTTTTTTTCTTTTCTTTTTTTTTTTTTTTTTTTTTTTGCTGTTGCATCAAACCATCAAGGAACAAATTTTATTTAGAATGTTACTTTATTTTATTTCATTTCATTTTTTTGAGACAGAGTCTCGCTTTGTCACCCAGGCTAGCGTCCAGTGGCACAATCTCAGCTCACTGCAACCCTGCCTCCTGGGTTCAAGCAATTCTCCTTCCTCAGCCTCCTGAGTCGCTAGGACTACAGGCATTCACCACCACGCTGGCTAACAGAGATGTTCGCATGTTGAACAGGCTGGTCTTGAACTCCCGACCTCAAATGATCTACCTGCCTCCGCCTCCTGAAGTGCTGGGATTATGGGCATGGGCCACTGTGCCCAGCCTTAGAATGTTATTTTACTTTCTTGTTGTACAAGTAAAATACAAAAAATTTTTCAATTAATGTCACAGTTTTTACACGGTGGAGCATAAGACCTAATATATAAATGGACTAAGGGTTTTGCTTGTAATTTTGGGGGAGGATTACTTGTCTATTGTGTTTATTCTCTTTCCTTCTCTGAGATCAGATGATGATGTTATTCCAGATGCCTCAGTTCAAGTGCAAATCACTGGGGATGTGAACCACTCAGACAAAAAACCGAAAGAGAGCCCCAGTACGAGTGCTGTGACTGAGGCTGCCCAGGCTAAAGAAAAAGAACCCTTGCAGAAAGATACTGCAGGTAGCTAAACTGGATTGTCTGCATATTATTTTCTTCTAGTCTTCTAAAATGAGGCTATTCCCTTAAGAACAGAAACAAATATGTTCTCTATTTTTTTCTTGCTGTCTTCAGCTCTCTTCTATCTCGCTTATAAATGAAATAGTTAAGGTATTTTTAGCTACATTTTTTATATACTTTGGCAGATAAAATTGACATATTTAAAGCTCTTTGACTTTTGGATATAGTAAACAAATTAATCTCATTGCCAGAAATTCATTTAATGGACTTTTTAACCTCTGCTGATAAAAATCTCTCAATTCTGAGATTCAGGCCCTCTAATGCCATTTTTGTATATACTCTTTTATTCTTTAGGAATTCAGCTTGTTTACTTCCTACCTATCAGTTACTTTACTTCAGAGGGTTTATGCTGATTTAAATGACCCTAATAATGTATTTAAGTTAGGATTGGTTTTGACTCTGAGAGCAAAACAAAAGCAAAATAACATTGGCTTAAAGAAGACAGAAAACTATTTCTCTTTTTTGTAAAAATCCAGAGGTTAGCATCCAGAGTTAACGTGGTACTCCAGAGTTTCAGGACAAAGCTGTTGCTCTCTTGTTATTCTGACAGTTTTGGCCTCCATTCTTAAGCTGTATCCATCAGCCCCTATTGCAACCAGCAGGAAGAAAGGAAAAGAAAAAGCACATTTCTTCCTTTAAGGATACTTCTGAGAAGCTATAGGTATCATTCCTTTTGCATTCTATTGGCCAGATTTAGGCACATGGTCACATGTGCCAGGGAAGCTGGGAAATTAAGTCTTTATTCTAGCAACAATGTGCCCAGCTAAACTTATTGTTCTGTTTTGAGGAAAAGGAAATTGGATATTAGAGGACAGATAGTATTTATAGTTTCTGCCCCAATTGTAAACTAAAACATTTTAGAACGTAATTAGCTGCTTCTCTTCTTTAGGTACTACTTGTTTAAAAAGGGTAGATTGTATTCTGGGCAACACTTCTGAATTTTACCCCATTTTACTATTACTAAATGAATGTTTTAAAAACAGTTTTGATCATATTAGTTGCCTAATCAAAAACTTTAGTTTTCATTGCCCATAAGGATAAAAATCTAAACTTTTTTAGCACTGTTTTCCAGAACTGTAGAATCTGTAGAATCAGCTCCCAAACAACTTTCTAACAGTAGTTCTCACCTCTTTTCCTTATAAATTCTATAATCAAATGCTAGATACTTGCTCTGTTTCTTAGATACTAAGTTACTTTCCTGACTCCATTCTTCTGTCATGTAGTCACCTTTTTTTCCATCTCAGTGTGTATCCCATCTTAGCTATTTTCTAATGCCAAAGTCAATTGTCTAGAGTTCTGTGCTCCTACCTGCAATTAGTTTTTCTTTCTTGAATACCGATACATCCTTTTTAACTTTTTATGGTATCTGTTTATGTACATGATTTTTTTTTTGCCCCAGTTTTCAATTATTTCTAAACACTTTTCTGAGTCATCTTTTATTTTTCTTCAATATCACTAACAAAGCCTTTTACATAATACATACTTGAGAGACATTCAAAAATATTTTATGTCAAGTTCCTCTCTGTATAGTGTGTTGATTTCCCTTTCGTAGATTCCAGTGATGCTGCTGCTGCAGAACACTCAGCTCAAGTAGGAGACCCAAAAATTAAGAACTCTCCAGACTCTAAAGCCATTACACAGAAAGAGGAGATCCATAGGAAGATGACAATTCCCGAAGAAGCCTGGCCAAAAGATAAAGAATCCCTACAGATAAATATTGAAGGTAATGGGACTGGGTTGTATGCGAGTATCTGTGTCTGTGTGTGTACATGAGGGTCAGTGTTTGTGTGTTTCCATTTCATTCTGATGAGCATATAGTCTCATGATTAAACAAAAATTCCTTTTCTTTTAAACTGTCTTGTGTAAAGTACTTTGATGCTACTTTATGTTGCTATATATATATAGACAGATAGATAGATTTAGATAGATAGATTGATTGATTCGTAAAGTAATTGTTACTTTTTGGAAAAGATATTAGCAACTTAGAAACAGGTTTATAAATAAATACCTAAGGCTGATAGTATTAGAAGTGAAGCATCTTGTCTCAATCCCCAAACAGAGACAACCTTAAATGCGTTCCAGAAGACTGTGGCAAAGACAATGAGAGCATCAATACAAACTTTAAAGAAATTACAGTAAAATTAAATTTATTTGTGTTTGTCCATGGCCCCCTTAGACACAAAAGCATATAGAACACAAGACGTTACTACCTGGATGTTAAGCTTTACCTCTTAGTGGAAGATGGAATAGCCTAGATAAGGAGAAAAAAGAGTCAAGGAGCTAATCTACCCATACTGGATCTTAAGTAATCCAGGTCAACTGCTTACATCAAGAATGTACAAAACAAGGCCAGGCACAGTGGCTCATGCCTGTAATCCCAGCACTTTGGGAGGCCGAGGCAGGTGGATCACAAGGTCAGGAGTTTGAGACCAGCCTGGCCAACATAGTGAAACCCTGCCTCTACTAAAAATACAAAAAATTAGCTAGGTGTGGTGGTGGGCACCTGTAATCCCAGCTACTTGGGAGACTGAGGCAGGAGAGTCACTTGAACCTGGGAGGTAGAGGTTGCAGTGAGTTCAGATCACTCCATTGCACTCCAGCCCAGGCAACAGTGTGAGAGTCTGTCTCAAAAAAATAAATTTAAAAAAAAAAGATTTTTTGACAATAATACCAAGACTACACAATGGGGAAAGGGTAGTTTCTTTAACAAATGGTATGGGGAAAACTAGGTATCCACATTTAAAAGAATAAAGTTGGACCCTTTCTTTTACACCATGTACAAAAGTTAAAAAGGGTTAGTGACATACATGTAAGACCTTAAAACCACAAAACTCCCAGAAGAAAACATAAGAGAAAAGCTTCAGGACATTGAATTTGGCAATAATTTCTCAGCTGTGATAGCAAAAACACAGGCAACAAAAGCAAAAATAGACCAATGAAACTTGAAAAATTATGCATCCCAAAGTAAACAGTTAAGAGTGTGAGTAGGCATTCTACAGAATGGGAAAAAAGATTTGCAAATCATAGATCTGATAAAGGGTTAGTATTTAGAATATGTAAAGAACTTATGAAACTCAATAACAAAAACCCAACCAACCTATTTAAAAAAAGACATAACATTTTAAAATCAGCAAAGGACTTGAATAGACAATAGGAGACATACAAATGGCATATCAAGCATATAAAAAGATGCCCAATCTCTCTAATTATAAGAGAGATGCGAATCAAAACCACAGTGAGATATCAGTCACTCCTATTAGGATGGCCAGTATCAAAAGAACAGAAAATAGCAAATGTTCATGAGGATGCAAGGAAATTGAAACCCTTGTTCACTGTTAGTAGGAATGTAAAATGGTGTAGCTATTGTGGAAAATACTATGGAGGTTCCTCAGAAAAATAAAAAAGAATTAATACATGATCCAGCAATCTCACTGCTGGGCATGTAACCTAAATAATTCAAAGAAGGACTTCATAAAGATCCTTGTATATACATGTTTATTGCAGAATTATCTATAATAGTCAAAATATGGAAGCAAGCCAGATGTCAGCCAACAGATGATTGTATTAAGAAAATGGGAATTATTTGTCAATAAAGAAAATATGTTACATACATACAATAGTATATTGTGTAGCCTTAAGGAAGAAGGAAATCCTATCACATACTACAAGATAGATGAACCTCAAAAACATCATACCAAGCAAATTTATGTCAGTCACAAAAAGATAAATACCGTATAGTTCCTTGCATTTGAAATATCTAAAGTAGTTGAAATCATAGAAACAGAAAGTAGAATAGTGATTGCCAAGGTTTGTGAGAGGGTGGACAGAGAATTAGTATTTAGTTGGTATAAATTTCAGTGTTACAAGGTGAAAGAGTTAGAGATTGTTGCACAACAATGTGAATATGCTTAACACTACTGAATTATACACTTAAAATGGCTAAGGTGGCCAACTTAATGTTATACTTTTTGCCACACATATAAAAATAATACATAAGATGAAGAAATAGAACATTGCAACTCTGCAGGGGGTTGTGTGGGAGACATAGCTTGCAAAAGAAAGATGGAAATATAATCTGTAAAAGCATACTCTAGAAGACAAGAAAATTTTTTCTAAATGTTTTACACTTTGAATAATTTTAGAAGACATGAAGTGTATGAAACAAAAATTGATAGAATACTGAAATGAAAAAGGAGATTTAGGGGATAGAACAAAATGAAATTTTTAAAAAGTACCCATTAGAAGAAAGAGGTGAAAGCAATTAGAAAAAAATTATGGAATTTGAGGACTGACAGTGAAAATTCAATACAATGATATCTTTTGTTGCCTCTAAAGAAGGTAATAGAAAAATAAAGATATAAGGAAGAATAGAACTTACAAGTTTATGTATGTATGTATGTACTTTTAGACACGGAGTCTCATTTTGTTGCCCAGGCTAGAGTGCAGTGGTGTGATCATAGCTAACTGCAGCCTCAAACTCCTGGGCTCAAGTAATCCTCCCACCTCAGCCTCTAGAGTAGCTGGGACTGTAGGCATGTGCTACCATAGCTGGCTTGAACCTGCAATTTAAAAGGGTCCAAGTCTTAGGAAACTGAAATGTATGTTTGTGATAGTCCTGAACTTTAAAAAAGAAAAAAAAAAAAAGAATTATGCATGCATCCATACAGAAAAAGCAAGTAGAAAATGCTAAAAGACTGGAGGACAGTTAGAGGACAGGGTGGTTAAAGGAGGTATAAATGAGCAAACTTCAGCTTTAAAGCTGTAAAATAAAAAAATACATGTGTAAGTATAGTATTGAAAATTATAAAAGTTACCTCTGAAAGAGTTAAACTGTAACATCCAAAATATTTAGAAAAACAGGAGAGGTAAACATGGAGGTAAAGGGAGGAAAAAAGAATACAGTAAATTTGTAACAAAAGGAAAAAAATGCCGTAAAATGGAAGACGGCAAAGCATACATGGCTATATATAAGTAAACTAAATTCACCTATATTTAAAAAAAAACTTCTTGGATTACATTAAAAAACAAACTCAGTTCCATGCTTATATGACAAACATCAAAAGTAAAATGACTGAGGAAAATGGAAAGCAAAAAGGAAACTTAGATCTCTATCAAAAAGAAATTTGGGGACATTAATATAGATGAGGTTAAACTCACCAAAAGTTTTGCAGGAATTGAAGAGGGATATTTTAATACTGATTTGCAATTCACAGTGAGGATATTTTGCATAAATCTTTAAACATCAAATAACTTAGCATAAAAATTTCATAAAATGAAAACCAGGAGCTCCATCAATAAGGAAATTTATGTTGCCTTAAAAAAGAATGAAGGTATGGAATTATATGAAAACAACAACTCTTCAGATAGATTGTGAGGCAAAAGGTTCTTAAAGGGTTGGGGACCAGAAGGTAGAATTTGCTCATAGGGAGAAAAAAATAAAGCAGACATCCCTAGGAAATCTTCAAAGAGAAATGGACAAGTACAAAATAATGGGGGGGAGCTTGAACACACGTAATTAGCTTATGACAGATAATAGAGATAAAAAATTTTTTTGTAAGTGAAGTTTAAAAACTCCTGGGAATAATAACCAGTAATGAGGTTGGGCTGTGTGTGTGTTTAAGTATGTAAGCCTATGTGGTTTAAAAAAAAACCCTTTTCAAAAAATTAAAAAAAAAAAACAACCTTTTCAAATGACCATAGAACATTTTTTTCCTTCATCTTTATTCAGATATAATTTACCCATTTAAAGCATGCAATTCAGGCCGGTCTTAGTGGTTCATGTCTATAATCCCAGCACTTTTTGAGGCCGGGGTGGCCAGATCACTTGAGGTCAGGAGTTAAAGACCAGCATGGGCAACATGCTGAAACCCTTTCTCTACTAAAAATACAAAAAATAGCTACTCTGAAGCATGAGAATCTCTTGAACCTAGGAGGTGGAGGTTGCAGTGAACCAAGATCGTGCCACTGCACTTCAGCCTGGGGGGACAGAGCAAGACTCCATCTCAAAAAACATAAAACTTAATTAAAATAAAATATGTAATTCAATGATTTTTACTATTTTCATAGATAAGTGCAGTCAACCATCACCATAATCAATTTTAGAATATTTTTATCACTTCGAAAAAGAAACTCTGAGACTTAAGCAAATGCTGATCCACTTTTTGTCTCAGTATATTTCCCTTTTCTGGACTTTCATACAAATGGGACCATTAAGTCAGGGACAAAACATGAAACTTATGGCCCACCCATAATGAAAAATGTTCAAGGAAATTTCCATATAAAGTAGGCCTCCAGTGAACTACACTCTTACTATAAGAATAAAAGATAAATAGGCCCATGTAGAAGGGGACAGTAAGAAAACCTTGCCTGTTTTAACCTTGTTAATGGGTTTGGGGAGAGAAGACAGAAAATTTATTCTGAGAATTTATAACCACAAACCAGTGTTCACACAGGTTTACATTTATTAATTTTTTACTGGTATGATTTATTAGTGCAGTAGACTACATGTGTGTTCTGAAAAATCTCAAGCCCAGAATTTAATTAAAAATGGCAATAGTTTGGTATTGCAGACTTACATGCCTGTCAGATTCAAATGCACACCTCTCTGAAGAAACTTCAGCCGATACCTCAAAATATTCCCTAAAATGCCAAGCTCATAGTCAAGGCACTATGAGTAGAAATGATATCAACAACAACAAAAAAGAAATGAGAAACACAATGATA